GGAGGGCGCCGAGCGGCGCTCGTTGCCTACGAGCGGGGCGAGGGGGGGGCGGGGCGAACCGCGCGGGCGAGCCCGCGGCCGCGCCGCTCAAGGGCTGGCGCGACGCCCTGCTCGAGCTCTCCGTGAAGGGCCGCGCGATGCTCTTCGAGGCCATCGACGCGCGGGGGCAGCCGATGGCCTGGGCGGGCGCATTCATTATGAGCTGGGCCATCGGCTTCATCAAGGAGCAGCGCGGCCATGGCCCCGCGTTCGCCGACTGCTTGTCGGACCAGTGGGCCGTGGCCGTCGCGCGCCGGTCGCGGCCCGGGAATGTGGCCCACGCGCCCGTGGCCCCTTGCGTCGCGAGCTCCTCGCAGGGGCCGGGCGCCCGCGAGCAGGGCCAGCTCGAGGCCGCGATCTTTAAGGTCAGGGGAGAGACTGGGCCCATGAGGCGAAGGGGGCCCAGCCCGAGAAGAGGCGCAAGTGCCCGGCGACCCTCTGGGGGCCCTGCGAGCGCAACTTCTGCGCCCACAAGGCCTGCGCCCGCTTCCGCGACAAGCGCGCGGAGGCGGCGCCGCTCCGAGGGCCCTGGGGCTGCGTGCGAAACGCTTGCCCGTGGCCCGGCCGACGGGGCAGGGCGAGCTCGAGCGCGTCGCGGGCCTGGGGCCCTGGAGGGTCGAGAAGGGCGGCGCCCTCGAGCATGGCGGCGCGCGCGCTGCCCGGCGAGGTCGACGAGCGCGCGGGCGTTCGGGAGACCGTTGCGGCGGCGGAGCCCACGGCGACCATCGCTCGGGGCTCCAGGGGGCCAGGGCGAGGGCGAGCCCGCCGCCTGGCGGCCCGAGGGGCAGGCGCGCTGGGCCGAGCCGAGAAGCCGTAGCACCTGCTGATCGCGGCGCGCCCCGAGGCCCCCGCGCACTGCGCATTTCGCCTACCTCAGGGCGCCCAAGCAGGGGCCGCGACGCCCTCGAGACGCCGAGGACGCCGAGCGGGCCGCCGCAAGGATCCCCCGAGAGCTCGGCGCCGTCGGCCCTGGCGGCGGGTGCCCTGCAAGCAGCGACGTGATGCGCTAGGCGGAAGGCCGGGCCAGCGGGCTCTGGGCGACGAGGTGGGTCGAGGGCGCCGCGCGCGAGATCCAAAGCGAGGGCCGCCAACCGCCCATTGGCATCCGCCAGGCGCGCGCACGAGGCACCGAGCGGGTCCGGAAGCTCCCGGGCGCGAGCGACAACCAGGCTGCCGGGGCCAAGGCCGAGGCCGAGAGCAACGGCAAGGCCCGGCCGCAAGCGCTGTTTGCGCGCGCGAGATGCCCCCCGCGCGAGGGCGGTCCAAGGAGCTGGGCCTGCGCGGGCGATTGGTTCGAGGTGGTTCGCAGAGGAGGATTCCCGGCGAAGAGCGCCGAGGACCCCCGAGGACCTCCGGGGCGCGGGCGAACTGTGGGATCTCGAGGGGCGCCGAGGATCTTCATAGCGAGGATCTCGAGGAGCGCCCCGGACCATCCTCCGCCTTCTCATCGCCCCCATCATCGTCATCGCCGTCATCTTCATCCTCGCCGCCCTCTAGCTTGCCGGGGAAATGCCTTATATCCCCCCTGGCCCCGAAAATTACGATCTCCGGGGGGCGTCGGGTTGCGGGGGGGCGACGGTGATGGGGCGTTTCCGGCAGTTTTCGATGCTGGCGGTGGTTTCCATCAGCTGCGCCTCGTCGAGGGCGTTCTGGGGTTGCTCGGATCGGCCGGTCGGCTTGGGATTTAGAGGGCAACGGCGGGGGTGATGGCCCCGGGGGGCGCATCGACCCCCGACCGCCCCCAATCTAGTGGCCCGATTCCTGCCCATGAACGCGCGGACTCGGTATCGGGGCCCTGTCGCTGATCAGTCGGCTACGCGTCGCCGGCTCCAGGTCGACGTTTCCCCTCTGGGCCTGTCCCCCCGTTTTTGCCCCTCGCGCCCCCAATCCCGTAATCGATGATCGAGTATCGAATCGTTGTTCCTTGAAGATGACGCCGTGCGGATCGCAAATCGATGCCCGACCCCATCGGTTGGTGCCCCCTCGCGCCCGCCATCGACGCCTCGATCAGGCGAGCTTGAGATGAGGGTGAACGGATTGATTTTGGGCGCTCTGGTATGGCCATTGCGCCAAGTGACGTCCTCGAGGCCAGGGGGCAATGTTCGGGAAGGATAGTTTCAGGGAAGATGCGTCGATCCCCCCGTCGCCCAATGATCGCCGATAAGGGGTTCGATCGCCCACCCCGCCCCGCCCAAGGACGCTTTTACGGCCGCGGCGCCAGACGACGCCCTCAGGGCCCGCCTGCTCTCATATGCTTCCCTCTTGTTCCCGCAGTCGTGGGCGTCGGCGTCGTCGACGCCGCGACGTCGTCGCGCATGCGCGCGCGCTGGGCGCGCCTGGCGCGCCTGGCGCGCGGGCCCGCGGGGTGCGGCAGCCGCGAGCGCTCGAGGCGAGCCGTGCGCGAACGCGCCCTTTGCCCCCACGCGTGCGCAGCAGCCCCGGAGGCGGCCCGCGGCGCAAGGACCAGGGGCAGCGTCAAAGGCTATTCGTTTTCACCCCGTCGCGATAGCGGGCATTGCGGGTAACGTCACGACTCGCGCCGACGCCGTCTGGGAATGCATAGGCATTAGATAGGCTTATTTAGTGATGCCGGACGGCGCCGTCGTGAATCGTGACGTTTGGGGGGTATCGGTAACGGGCGTGATCGCGAAATTTCTAAGATGCTCTCAGTGAAGCAAGTTTTTGTTTCCTGACCTTTTCGAGCGCTTTTGAGGTCCAGTGTGTTTTTCATTACTTGCGCATCCTCGGGAGCGTTCCGAGGAGGACCGGATCGTCCCGAACGACTGCGAGAGAACCGAGTTTTGGTCCGAATCGTTAGGGGGCTAATTTTGGGGATCGTGGCCGAGTCATGGCCCGAGTTAGGACTGCGGCGCAGCGTTAGGGGGGATAGGCTCAGCGAGGGATGCATCGACCTCTTTCTATTCCTTTTTTCCCTGTTCCCTCCATCCTCCCTTCCTCCTCCCGTCTCCCTGTTAAACCGTGTGCTGCCCTAGCGGCTGTTTTCCCTGCGCAGTTCCTCGGACGACCCTAGGAAGGTTGGGGTCGGTCCGCACCCACTCCGCCGCTGACGAGAGCGTCCATGCGTTCGCCCACCACCTTCCACCTTCTCCCATCGCCTGCCCCTCCTGGTCCTCCCAGTCGTCGCCCTCCTCACTCGAATCGGATGCCTCTTTGCCGTCTGGGCTCGTGTGCCAGATCAGAAAGCTCCGGACAGGGTTTTGCCCGCTGCAGGGGAGACTCAAGGATGAGGCGGGCCAGGTCTTGGATAGCGACAGCTGGGCTGACACTTTGGCGGCGCATCTCGAGCGGGGGCAGTGGGCAGTGCGGCCGACGACGGCGATGCCAACTGATAATCTGCATCACGGCGAGCTGCCGATCGTCCTTGACCCGATCACGCAGGAAAAAGTCAGGAAAGCAGCGGGCAAAATAAAGCAAGGCAGAGCAGGAGGCTTGGACAACTTACCCCCGGAGTTCTGGAGAGCGGCCTCCGGAGAAGGCACCCCGACGCTCGAGTGGATCACTCGTTTCTGCAGCGTGATTTGGGAGACGGGGCGCGTCCCTGATGCATGGCACAAGGCAAAGGTGAAAATGATCTACAAGAAGGGGGACCCCGCGGACAGCAACAACTATCGCCCAATATGCCTTCTCCCGATAGGGTACAAGATGTTCGCGCTCGTCCTGCTGCAGAGGATGAAGGACGCCGGTGCAGGACAGCGTACTTGGGAGACACAGTTCGGGTTCCGATCGAATTGCGGTACTGCAGACGCCATACTCATCGCCCGGCGGGTGCTGGAAGAGACATGGTCCGCTCGCGATGGGAATGTTCTTGGCGCTGGATTGGGCAAAAGGCCTTCGATTCTGTGTCGCCTCAAGCGTTGGCCATGTCGCTGCAAATATTTGGATGCCCTAATCGTTTTGTAAACATGGTTGCTGCTATTTACGAGAACCGCGTTTTCGAGGTCACCGAGTTGGCGCAACGTCACAACAGTGCAAGCCAGAGTACGGAACTTGCCAAGGATGTCCGTTGTCACCGCTCTTATTTACAGTTGTTATGATTACGCTTCTACACGATGCGATGCTCACAGAGAGCTTCGCCAAAGACGAGGCCAACCTGTTCCGGAAGAGCTGGTCCGAGATCTTGTCTACGCGGATGACGCGCTGCTGCTCGGCGCCAGCGCAGAGGCTGTGCAGGAGTTGATGACATATGTGGAGAAGTTCGGGGCAAACTGCGGCTTGCAATTTAATTGGAAGAAGGGGGAGCTGATGAAGGTGCGCAGAAACCACGGCATCTCAGACAGCGCTGGCGCTCCTCTCGCCAATATGCATTTCATCGTCTACTTGGGCGCGTCGATCTCTGCCGACGGAAGATGCGCGTCGGAATTGTTTCGCGGAGTCGGGGCAGCTATGCAAGACTTGAGAATACTACTCACGATTTGGTCTCACGCTTCGTTGACGAGGAATCAGAAGCTCCACATCTTCAACGTGTGCGTTCTATCCGCATTAATGTACGCCCTCTTCACGGCGTGTCTAAACCAGGCCGAACCTCGACGTTTGGACGGCTTCCAAAATCGCTGCATCAGAAAGATTTGCAGAGTGCGCCCAGCATGCATCAGTAGAGTGTCGAACGCCACCGTGCTTGGGATCGCTGGCCAGACGAAGCTCAGCGACGACCTCGCGAGACGGCAGATAATATTCATGGCCCAATTAGCGCGCCGACCCGGCCAAGACCCTGCGCGACGCTCGGTGTTTGAACCGGGCACCCTGGTGCTGCGCAGGGTCGCCGGCCCGAGAAAGCGGGGCAGACCGAGGCAGACATGGGGCCATCTAGTTTGGAATAATTGTCTCAAGGTTGCCGGCCCGCGCGAGCGACTCGCTGCCGACTTCCACCGAGACGGCGGTGCAGCGCGAGTTTGAGCGCGGGGGCGCGCGGCGAAGGCTTGGGCCGGAAGCTGCAGCCATTATGGCCGCGTTTGGTGATTATTGCCTATGCGTTTCGCCCCTGCTCGCGCACCGTCTGGTGCAAGGCGTGCTTGACTTGACTTGCTCGAGTGCCAGCGCGATTCAGCATGCTCGTTTGAAAAAACCCCCGCGCGCCAAGGCGTGCGTGCACGTTCTCTCTGTCCGACTTTTGTTGCAATTTGGGCTCAGGCGCTCGGCCGATTTGAACCGTGGTTGGGCGCTGAAGTTAGCCCTTCGGCCGTGCGTCCTCGACGTCGCGCGGCGGCGGGTTAATGAGAGAGACCCTTTGCACCGGCCGTGGGGCTGTCGATGCGAGCGGGGGGGGGGGGGGGGGGGGGGGGCGGGTGCAGGCGCGCGAAGCAGCGGGGCCCCAGCCGCGGCGCAGCGCGCAGCATGCCGTCGGTGCCCCAGCATGCCGTTGTGGCGAGCTTCAGTAGTGCCGGGGCCCCACGCGACCCTTCGAGACGAGGGCCCGACCGCGGAGTCCTATGGCTTTCCTTCGGGGTAATCTGGAATCCCCGCCCTCATGTGGGCGCTGCTACGGCGCGAGCCCCCCTGCGTGCCCGCGGGCCCTCATTCTTCCGCCGCTGGCGGGGGTGGCAGTTCAGGGCGGGTCGGGGTGGGGGGGCCCGATCGCGGTGGCTGTTTATGGAGGATAGGTCGGGCTCCGAGACCGCGCCCGCTCGACTCTTCTTGCGCGCGCGCAGCGCGGTGCGGGCTGGTGGGCATGGACCTCTTAACGCTCGCGGTTTCAGCGGGGCCGGGGGGGCCCCTGGCTCCGAGAGCCGCTGCGAGAGGGAACTGGAAGCCATCGTCATCGCCTACGACGCTGGGGTCGACGCGTCAGCCGAGCGTCGGTCGGAGGCTTTGGCGCTGCGAAGCGGGCGGTTGCGAGAAGAGGTCGGGGGCCAGCGTTTAACTGCAACACCGCCAGGATCAGCGTTTGCGGTTCGAAATGGGTGAGCAGTCGCAGCAGGCTGCAACGTTCCCTTGCGGGCGCTGGAAACTAGCGTCGTCGGCTACAGCGCTGGGATCAGCGCCCCCGCTTCGACGCGGCCAAGCAGCGGCGGCAGGCTGCGGCGTTGCTCAGCAAGCGGTGGCGACAAGAAGTTGGTGACCAGCCTCAAAGGCCACGACGGGCATTGGCACTTCGACGTTGGGCAGCGCGCCCCAGGGCAGCAGCCTGGCCATGGCGTCCACGAGTAGGAAAGGCTGTTTCGAGTACCGCGTCGCTGAACAGCACGACTAGCGCCAGCTTCTCGCCGTTGCGCAGCACTTTGGAGAGCAACAGCTCGTCGCGGAACGCCGCGACCAGCAGCGGCATCGACTCTTTGACGAACGCGCCCGGGAGCAGCAACCCGACCTCTCGTCCACGGGCGGGGCGACCGCAGCCTCGGGTGCAACGTCGCGGAGCAGCGCGGCTGGCATTCATCTCGACGGGCAGCGGCGCGTCGGGGGGCAGCAGCATTGCCTGGTCGCTTGTCTTTCGCAAGACAGGAGAGTTCTGCCTTGAGCGCCGCGTCGTGGGCCACCACGGTGGGCGCCAGTAGCGCGACGGGCACGAGCCTCGCAAAGTTGCGCAGCGCGTCGGCGAGCACCCGCTCGACCGTGACGTCCGTGTGTTGGACGAGAACTACCTCGAGTGTCATGTCGCTGACCACTTGCGATGGGCGCCAGCCGCGCATCGTCGAGTTGCGCGTTGCTCCGAGCATCGCGGCGTCGACCGCGGCGGCGGGCGCTGGCATGGCGACCCCGCGCAGCGCGCCTCAGAGCAGCAGTTCGGCCGCGACGCCCACGAGCGGGGCGAGCGCTGCCTCGAGGCCCCCTGTCGGTGAGCAACGCGACGGGCACTAGCATCTCGAGCTGGGGCAGCAGGTCGCCGGGGGGCGCCGGCCCCGCTCTGGCGCCCGCGAACGGCGCGAAGGCCGCTTAATCGAGAGCCGCTGCGCTGACCGCCGCGACGGGCGCCAGCGGCGCGCCGTTGAGCTGCGCGGGCGCGAGCGACCGCCCGCCCCCGACGCCCGGGCGCGTTGACGAGCACAGCCGAAGCGCTGGAAAGGAGACAAGGATTGCGACGCCACTTTCGATGGGGCCCCGTGCAGCGCTGGATCGCGCGGCCGCGACAGCGCGCTCGCGCCGCGGACAGCGCGGGATCCTTGCTTGGTGCCCCGCGGCGGCGCTCTGAAGGCGGGCGCCCCCGTTCGCGCGAGAGACGAGCCCTCTTCCGTCGAGGCTCCTCGTCCGCGTCTAGACGCAGGGGCGCAGACCCCAGGATTGCGTCGGCGACGAGATCGGCGTCGCCGCGCAGGGGCCCCTTCTCGCGCACGACGGCAGCGGCCTCTCCATCGGGGGGGGCTTCGACGTCGCCCCGAAGTTCGACCTGGGCCTCGCCGGCAGTGTCTGAGCAAGCGCTGCAGCGCGGAGGGCGCGCGCCTCGGGCCGTCGCCGTTCAGCAGCGGCGAGTTGTTCGTCGACGGCGGCGACGCCGGGGGCGGCCTAGAT